AAAAGCTTGAAAACGAAATGAAAGAATTCAAAAGCAATCGAGATTCAAAATTGAAAGAAATTCAAGTAATTAAGTTCATTTCAATTCTATTTGTTTACTCTCCTTCAAAAACTAAGTTTGTATTGATGATGCAGACATCAGTAGTTCAAGGGAAAGCAGAATTGTCACAGAGCAACCAAGTCGTCATAAACATGAATCGCGATGTTCAAATATTGCACTTAGAAATTAGTATGTATTACATGAATTCTTATCACTCGTTAGAGTCACGAAATAATTAGTTTTAATTACACATTTTATTTCATAGAGCAACTTGAGGAAGATTTGCAAAGTTCTAATAGAGATATTGAAAATTCAGATAAAAATATTAAACAATTAATGGATATGGTAGCATCAATGGAAACAGAATTATCAAATCTAAAGGTTAATGTTCTAATAATCATCAAAACTATCTTTGTCTTGCTTATTTTTTTCGTGTCGTAAAATTATATTCTTTCAGAGTTCATTAGATAGTGCACAATCTGAACTGGATAATGAACGAAATATATTGTCTGCCTTTGATGAGGAGATCAAAGAACTTCAAACTGCTATAAAAACGAAAACAGCCCAAACGACTGAAGTGCAATTAGAAATATCTAGGATTAACCACGAATTAGAAAGGTTCCTTAAAGAGAAACAAACAGCGCAACAGGCAATTCTCCAGATGGAACAGAATTATGATTGGATCATACAGCAAAAACAGTTGAGTTTATAATGCATATACTTAATTTTTTTTCCTTTTTATTTATATGTTTATATATCTTTTAATATCAATTATATCAGCCATTTTGGTAAACCCAACACAGCATATGATTTTGTTAATAATAACCCAAGTGAATGCAAAAAGATGTTACGACAATTAGAAGAGAAACACAACAATATGCGTAAAAAAATAAATGCTAAAGTTATGAATATGATCGATAGGTAATTCTTACTATTTTCTACTTTATTTTGATAATCTAAAATTTATTGACACAAATTTTAAGTGTTGAAAAGAAGGAGGCTTCCCTAAATCAAATGTTGGCAACTGTGTTGAAAGATAAGAAAAAAATTGAAGATACGATAGTATCCTTGGATGATTATAAAAAAGATGCATTGCAAAGAACTTGGGAGAAGGTAAATGGGTAAGTATTAATGACGTGCGTAAATATGTGGATTTCTTACATTAATGGCTTTGTGCAATTTTATTATCACGTTTTAAAGAGATTTTGGAGCAATTTTTGCAGACTTATTACCGAATAGTTTTGCAAAACTTGAACCTCTCGAAGGTCAAGATTTGACTCATGGTTTAGAAGTTAAAGTACAACTTGGTGGAGTATGGAAGCAAAGTTTATCGGAATTGAGTGGTGGTCAAAGGTAAACAAGATTTTTAATATTGTAGAGTCTAAAAAAAATTGGACAATTATTTTTTAGTAAATTTTAAAGTAAAATATCTCAACAGATACAAACCAAATTTTAAACTTTTATTTTATAGAATTAATAAATAAAAACTTTATAAATTTGGTTTGGTAGTTGGAATATTTTAATTGATCCAATGTCTTCTCATATTTAATAAAAATATTGTATATATAAAGCTAATCTTATCGTCTATTTTAGGTCACTTATTGCATTATCACTGATTTTATCATTGCTTCAGTTTAAACCTGCGCCAATGTATATTTTGGATGAAGTGGATGCAGCACTAGATCTTTCTCATACTCAAAATATTGGACAATTACTTCGAACTCGATTTAAAGGTTCACAATTTATAGTTGTTTCACTTAAAGATGGAATGTTTAATAATGCGAATGTTTTGTTTCGCACACGATTTCACGATGGTACTTCAGTTGTTGAGGTTTGTAGAAATTAAATTTTGTTTGATAATTTAAATACTTTATATATTTTTTTACTCAATATGCTACTATCAAAATATTTATATTTGGCGTTATCGGTGCTATAACGAAAATTTTTTTATCACATTTATAGCGACGCGGTTAGAGTTCTATCACACCTTTTATGGTATGAAAATGTCGATCAGATATTTCTAGACATTTCGGTTGCACAATATCACATGCTAATTGACCAATCGTATTATGGTCTTGATAAATAAAAAAATTGATTATTTTATAGTAACGTATAACTAAAATATTCGTTAATAAAAATGCTTAAAAAATGCTACAAAATTTAAAATTAGGTTGTACAACAAATTTTTTTTGGTTTTTATAACATAGAACTGTTTAAACAACCCCGGCCAGCTGGCTTTTTTTAAAAAATTTATATACCGTATAAAATTTTGGAGTATTTTAACACTCACCGGAGGTGAAATTCACCGGGGTGCTATATCTCGAAAACTGCACTATGAAACAGGGGTCAGGTAGGTTAAGTAAAAATGTTCAGGACCCCTGAAAACCTCATGAGAACTCAAATCGGGACCTTATATCTACTCTACATAATATAAAAAAAAAACCTAAAACCGCACCCTAACCCTAAAATTCTTATGCCGGTGAATTTCACCACCGGTTAATTTTAAATAAATTCTAAAATTTTATAAATTTTAAAAAATTTTTTAATTATTTAATATTTTGTATTGAGAATTCACTAGGAGTTTCTTTGAAATAACTATAACTATTAACTCTGTATTAGCTGATTTTCTAAAAAGACAACTATCTTTTTTTAGATACTGTATTATACTTAGACAATTTACATTAAAAAAATTGAATTATACATATAAATATATATAAACAAATTTTTATAAAGATAAAAAATTTTTACACACTTACTTAAAACTTAGTATAGAACCACAATGTATATATATAAACCACTAATAAAATATTCTTTAGTACTTTTCTAATTCAGTTTAATTATATTTTTATATCTACTTGAGATATGCAAATCCAAAATCGAAGAGCTATTGCAGCAAAGAAACAATGTAAACAAATAGAGAGAGTTGCTAATTGACAAGCTATTGCTTAACAAGAAGAGAATATGAATCTTTTATTTGTTTATTTCAAAATAATACTTAACATTATCTTGGTCATATAGATAAAAAATATATTTACTGTAGTGCATTTCACTGGTTAGATGAATGTGTAACAAGTTCAAAAAAAACTAAGATTTGAAACTTTTTTTATTATAAAAAAGTTAAATTTTCTTTTCTTCAAGATCTACTTTTTATATTACATCAGCTTTTTGAAGGCCAAAATGAACAATTACAAGAATTTTATACAAATATATATCAATATAATGCTGCATATACTTTTACTTCTCTTGGAGTAAATATTGATCGACCAGTTATTTGTGGACATACCTTATATAGTTTTCAAATTCATGATGAATTATATTATCTTTTAGATGCATTTTTTCCTGATTCTACTACAATAGCAAGTTATATACAACTTTATATTTATAATTTAAAACTTGCACATTAAATAAGAATGAAACATAATAAAAATGTAACTTCTCAAATGATATAAAAATTACAAATAGGAGCGTAACGACTTAGTGAAGTGGTTAAATTGTCGCCCCCAAGTGGTACATCCAGAGTTCAATTCCCACCGATGACGAAAAATCGAATTCTTCTGTGCATTGATGACTATTTCGGGTGTTGAGATAGAGATCCTGTAACAACAGTCAGACCAAATAGGTGCAAGGGGTAATGATCACCTAACAGACAGCTTATCTCGCAAGCTCTAATCAGGAGTGGTAGTACAGACTTGGAAAATCTTGGGGCATTTGTGTAATAAAGGAGTTACACGAAGAGATACAAACCAATAAAAGACGGTGTAAACCCATGATAAGTCCTCAGGACCTGTGTAAATCTGTTGGACTTTGTCCCGAATAGGAATCCGCTTGGCAAGTCCCAAGTAGAGAGGTAGCACTACTTTCAATGATTCTTGAAAGTCTGAGAAGAGAACCAATAAGCTGTGGATCTAGACGAGGACCGGGTGTTTGGCAGGCACTATACCAACAAGGCTGCCGGAATCGACCGAAAGAAAAGGGCACAGGCCAGTATCTGGGTTAAGCCAATAGGAAAGCAGGTAATGTAACTTGTGGACCAAACCAGGCTATCTGGATTGGAAGTTTGGTGAAATAGTGGAAGGGTTCCCGATTGGACAAGTAAGGGGCTAGG